GGTGCCTTTCCCGCCCCTCAGCCATCGACCCACCTCGCGCGTTCCCGGCCCACGCCGTCTTGGGGCAGTCGTCCGCTGCAGCGACGCCGGGTGCTGTGTGGGTTTCTGCGGGCTTCCTCCTCGCTTTTATTCCTGTCGCTTCCCGCGGGACTTTCCCGGCTTCTAAGAGAACGAAAGTAGAAGCGCCTTATTCCCAGCAGCTCTGGGAAGAAATACCCGGAATCTCCGGAGGCCAAGACAAGGGAGTGGATAGAGGAGTCTGTAGCGTGCAGGGCAAGGCAGGTCGGAGCGAACAGTCTCGGCAGCTTCCTTTGGCTCCTGTTTGGGAAGCCTCCGCGGCTTCACACCCAGATTACCGAGAATACCCACCTCTTTCCGGTTTTGCCGGGCCAATTTTCTGGTGCTGCGGCGTGAATCGGGGCTTGTGTGCTCCAGGCATTCGCGCTCTTTCCCGGGTTATCCCCTGCAACTTTCTTAATAAAAATTTGCAAAGCAAAGAGTTAAAGCCAGTAGCGATGAAGGTAACATTTCAAACGCAGCCATGTTTGAGGTGAATTTCTGGTAGTAGCTGTAGATAAGAATTCTAATAAGTTTGAAGCAGACACCTGTAATTTTCCATAAAGGATAGCCAGAGAGAACAGAGATGCAGAGGATGTATAGAAGTATAGAGCTAGAGCCAAGATAAGGCTCTTGTAGGCTTTTTGCAAGCAGGTAGCCCACTCATTTCAAATGTCAAATAGTCAGAAAGTTTAATATGAACTGAACTGCCATGATCTCAATATAATCCCAGAAGTTTGCATTCCCTGAAATGTAAGCTCAAGATAACATCAAAAAGGGTTCTTCTCCTGATGAAGCCATCTCCCCAGTATGAGGGAAGGTCATAGGTTTTGACTTTACTCACATTCTTTATTTTAGCAGAATCTTAATCTCTAGGAAGGTAAGGGGAAAAATGTAATGCCTGTTAAATCCAGTGGCTGCCTGCTGTGTGCCTCTGCGAGGCTTTTTGGAAGTCATGTGTCTAGGCTGAAGCCTGTTTCAGTTTGATTGAATTGAGGCTGAATGAAACTGCCAAGCTCCAATGTTTGCTTTTAATTCCCAGAAAACATGAGTGGACTATGCCCACTGATTCAGTAAAGTTGCCAGCTGAGGATCAGAAAACAGTATTGCAGAGGTATATAAACTGTGTTTCCCCATTCATTTGCCATTCATTGATGGGATTTCTGTCTGATTTTGCTCCTGCCAACCTTTTGCTCAACTGCATATTTATTCACGTGCTCGTGAATTCCTAATCTCTCTGAATTGTCCTGGCTATAAAAACAATGTAAGAAAATAAGGTGCAACCTTATATCAGAATGAAATTAAGAATTTTTTTCTGAGCAGGTGTGCTGAGGATTGTGTTAGTGATATACTATTCCCCAAAGGATTGCCCAATCAGAGAGCTCTCTTCCTCACTGTCTTCACTGCATTGCATATACACTTGTAGTGCCTATTGAACGTAAAGTGGGAGCCTTCTTGCACAAGGGACAGTTTTATTTTGGGGGTGGGGAGCCAGTCAAAAATTGTCAGTATATAACTTCTAAATTGTGGTTTGCTACTTAGGAAGCCACAGCCCCCTTTTTATGTGTGTGCAATGTGTACAACACATGTAGAAAAGAGGTGGGAGGTTGATTGCCCAGTTGCATTGAAAGTAGTTAGTTTGCTGACAGTCCTATGCAGGACTACTCAATATCCTACTGAATTTAATCACACTTACTTCTAGGTAAGTGCATAGAAGAACATAGCCTTAATTACACTGTCTTAAGAATAGCCCCACACTGAATTCAGTGGGACTTATTTCCCTAATTTTTATTAAAGATTTTAGTTACAATAATAAGAGCAAATACAAACTAAACTCCGAAGAAGAAGAAATAGAAAGATTAAAAACAGCTAAGTACGAAAAAGAAAAAAGAAGTAAGATAAAAGAAATATGTAAAGAAGTGACTTCCTATCTTCATCACAAGTAAAAACAATTTTGGTAACTCTTCACCCCCTATAAGGTTACAAACAAATATATCTTCTTCCCATAATCTATCCCTTATCTATATGCAAATCCATAAATCATCAACTTTTCAATCTTGGTGTCAGCAAAAAGTCTGTAAAGGGTTACCAGAGCTTTATAAAAACATGTCTTATTTTAACCTTGAACAAATCAACCAACTTTATATTCCTTCCTTTTACTTCTGACAATCTTAATCTTTGATTCTTTCAGATGTTGTAGGATTTGGTCTCTCTTCAGTTTTACTTTTTCCCCATTGCAGAGGCCTCTTCGAGGCTTTAGCAAACCTCTTTTGTAAATCCAGTAAAAAGTAATTATTCAGGTCATTCTCTTGGCTTGACATTTGTATTTCCACTTTGATTTTCAAAACTATAAGCAACTTCTTTTGTATGTCCAGTAAAAAGTCCTCATCACGGTCATTCTCTTGGCTTGTCATTTGTAATTCCACTTTAAGTGCCTTCTCTATCTTGTAATCCATACTTTTTTATTATCCAGTATTTCTAATTCTGGTGTTTCTTCATCAGATTTAACATGTTTTGTACAGTCTATCCATAGCAACAGACATCATTGCTGACATTTCTTTTTTTTTAAATAATTTTATTAAAGATTATATTATACAGGTAGTCCTTGCTTAACAACCACAACTGGAACCAGAATTTCCATCGCTAAGCGATGCAGTCATAAAGTGATGTCACGTGGCCACTCTGCTTAGCGACCGCAATCCCAGCACTCCTGGCACTCCCGGTTGCCTTTGTTAACCAAGAATTGCAGGTTGTTAAGCTGCAGGGGTCCCAGGTAAGGAGTGCAGGGGTGCTGCAGGGGGGTGAGGAAAGCCCTGGGAGGCCCAGCGCAGGCTGCGCATGACTTGGTGGGTTGGCAGTGCAGTGCAAAGCGGTAGCCACCCCTGGAAGCCTCAGCCACACCAGACAGGCCCAGCAGCACTTACGACTCCCCCAAATGTCTATCTCCCCCCGCCCCCATCTATGCCCTTTTGGCCACCCTGCACAGTGGCATTTGCCAGTTGCACCAGGGCTGGGGCTGAAATAGAGGCCCAAGGCCTTCAATAGTCTCCGCCAGCTGCCACTTCTACTTCAGCCCCAGAGCTGTCGCTGACACTGGGAAATGCCACTTCAAGTCCCACACTGTGGCCAGCCACCCCAGCACCATTGCACAAGTTGCCCCCACCACCCTGAGCTCCACAGGCTCTGCTGCACCCAGCTGACCTTTGCCATTTTCCTCCCACTGCTGATGAGGCACGCCCAGCCTGACCCTTCTGTATGTGAGGCAGCTGCTGGCCATGCCAGGTTTTCTTCCCAAGGCTGCTTGCGCTATTCTCCAAGCCGCTGATGCCATTCCTTCTCCAAATTGTGTGTCCTATTCTCGCGATCCTTTGAAAACCTTCTGGTCTTCCCCAGGTCTCACAAGAATGGGTGTGCTATTCTTGGGAAGGTGGGTAGACTGGTCCTACCTTCAGCCGCCAGGTAGACTGGGCCAGCCTTAGCCCTCCAGAGCTAAAGCTTTGCAAAAGTTCTTGGAGCACAGTGCATCAAAAAGCTTTAGCTCTGGAGGGCTAGGCTGGCCCGGTCTACCTGGCAGCTGAAGGTGGGACTGGTGGGCAGGTTTATCCATGGGGGAAGAAAAAGTGCTGCTTTTTTTTTCTTCCCCTGAGGGTAAACCGGCACACTCCTGGGAACTCCTGGGAACAAGATAGAAAAAGAAATCTCCCCCTTCATTCCCAGCAAGTATAATCAACACTAACAATTGATCACAATCTCTTAAAATATGACCAAATACTTCTTCATTCCATACCTCACCCCATTCTCTATAAGGCCATCTCTAAACCCTTGTCTCTCTGTATTAATCAGCAAAACTCCGGTAAGGGGTATCAGAAATAACAATATAAATATTACTAACTATATCTATTACACCCAATCTCAGTCCTTTCTTTTATATTAATATGTCCATTTCTGTTTATCTCTTCAAATAATCAAAGTCTATTCCCAATCAAAAAACAAACATTATCAAAAATAACCATCATCATCCATTCCAATCAGAAAACCATTAAACATCACCAGAAATAGCAGCCCATTATTTTAACCTTGAGCAAATAAACCAATTTTTTTATTCTTTCTTTTTGCTCCTAATGATCTTTAAATTCCTTGAAGAAAGTTCTAACAACTACTTTCTCATACTTTCTTTGTCTCTTCTCTCAAACTTCTTGTCATCTTTGTCAGGCCCCTTTTGTAATTCTAGTGTGGCAACTCCAGCAAATCCCTTTTGTGAATTCAGTATAAGAAAATAATCCACAATGCTCTTCTGATTTATTATTTGTATATCTGTTTTAATTTTTAAATAATCATCTAATTTCATTTGTAAATCCATTATTTCCATCTCTTTATTGTAGCCTGTAATTTTTAAATCCATCTGTATGTCAATTTCAGTTTTATTCAATGGGGCCTGTTCCTCTTCAATAACACCTTCTGATTCTACTATAAAGTTAAATAGCTCAAAGACTTCCTGCATCCATTCATCAAATGCTTCTTTTAAGGTAACCATCTGGTGCTCTCTAGTGCCAACCTTCAAAATCGTCTTATTAGTTTCAATGTATAAACAAGAAGATTGTCCCACAAGTAAGGATCTTTTCAATTAACTTCAAAATCTTAAATCAGGTCCATCTGAGCCCTTAATCCATTTAAAACTTTCTAAAGCCAACAATAATCATCAATTTGCTGTATATTCCAAAAAAAAAAAAAAATTGTTCAAATCTTTAAACTTGTAGTTAAACCTTTTAAAGGATTGAAGGAGACTCACCCAGTGATTTCAATAAAACTTGCTGGTCTGAAGCTTCTTAGTCTTTAAAAAAAAAAAAAATCTAAAGAAAAACATTAATTCCAAAGTGATTAAGAGATGAGCCTCAAACTTAAAGTCCACATAGGCAATTAACGGCTATAAGCACCATGAAATCCCACGACTCCCAGTCAATCACAAGCTGACCACAAAAAATGCAGTTCCTGCTGTCTGCTCACAAAAAAACACCTGTACAGAGTACATATGGGTAATCTTGCAACCTCTCCTTGCTCATGAGAGATTTCAGCAGCCTGAATCCTGCATTAGAACACAATTTTCAGCTGCAGTTTGTTCCTCTATTCTAGAGGGATGTCAGTTCACCATGGTGGCTTACCCGAAGTGACATTTCTGATATTGTAACTACTAATGTCTGGCCCCGTTCTTTAAAAATCTCCTGAAGTATTTCAAATGTTATAGCATTTAGTGTCATTTTATAAATCTCAATACTAACCAAAAATCAAAGGCAAGTTTACGCTTTTTTTTCCCTTTTCTGCCTGGAATCTTTAGTCCCTCTAGTGTCCAATTTCTGAAAACATAAAGACCAAGTTTCTGTTATGACTTAGACAAAACAATTTATTTCCCACAAAATGCTGTTTATTTCCAAAATCTTATAGTAAAAGTCTCAGTGTTCCAAAGTTGCTTATTTTGTGCACAACTTTCTTAGATCAAAATCTTATTTAGTTTTTTGCCATTTATTTCTAATTCTTTAAATTCTTAAACTTTTAATTAATTTTTTCTTTTGTTCAAGAAGAAAGGTAAATTCACCAGGTTTTCAAACTTATCATTCTGAAGATCTCTAGTAGCCTTAGAATAGTAAATAAACAATTTCAGAAAGTGATTATAAAGTGAGGTTAGCGAAGGTGGTGAGCATGATAATGATCCCTTGTCTCCTGGCACTCAGACCCATGGGAGGCTGCTGTCCTGAGGTCTCCTCATGAGGAGCCACTGTCCAGAGCACAAGTAGATGATCCCTGTCCTTGACTGGAAAGATTCCAAAGAACCAGTCTACTTGCTGGTTCTTTGGTCTTTGCTGTGGTCATTGTGTCCACTCTCCATAGAGCTGTGTTTAGTTCGCCATGCCTCCCCTAGCAATCCTCTCAGTGGGACTTATTTCCCACTGCACAGTAGCAGCACAGTACTATGGATAATCTACCTAATCAGATAGATCTGAAGTATAATAATTATTAAATATCTGTGTATCTTCCCACAGTAGCTCTAATAGTATTATTGTTTGATGGAGGTTTCTAGAAGTTCAAAATGGTACATGAACCCAATAAGAGCAACCCTTTAGGTTTATTCTAAACAATTATAGTGTTTTCCCCATTAGATCTGGTTCATACATTGTGTTAAGCCAATGTGGGACCAGCCAGTTATAGTTCATTCAATAAAACATGATTAAATCATGGTTAGCATGCTATGCAGACCAACCAGTGAGTTTTAATCAGCACAAGGGAAATACGAACAATTTGTATTTATTGTACTGTTGTCATTTTTGTCGTCGTTGTTGAAACCTGCCTTTTACATCCCCCCTAATAAGTATCATATGGAATTGTTCATGTATTCTTAGAATTGGAAGGGGCCAGGAGGCTATCATCCAGTCCCACTGCTCAGAGCAGGAATCGAGTTTAGAGAATCCCTGACAGAGCTTCTGCTTCAACACATTCAGTGAAAGGGAATGAATCACCTCCCTCAATAATTGTTTCCACTGTTAAACTCAAATCAATTCTTTATTACAGTCAAAGACCAGCATAAGGAGGGTGGGGTACAGTCAATTAAAAAGCAAAGAAAATACATTGGAGGAGGAGGAGGAATAATAATGATAATGATAATAATAATAATCAGCTAAAAGATATACAACAGAAAGTGTATATCCAAAAGGAATCTAAAAGGAGAGGGAGGAGCATTAGATGGGTGTAGGGGAGCATAAAGGTTTATAGCAGACTATATCTATCAAATTACAGAGCACTCCAGCATGATGAACTAGATGCTCATTAAGACTAGTTTATGTCACCGGTTATCATCCAGTGAATTTTAAGCACTGCTGCGCAGAACATGGCAACATTGTATGTTGTAGCAGGGCTAGTATCTGAAAGCAGCAGGATGTAGAATTGTCCTGTGCGCCCTGGGTATTTATGCAGTAATGGTGAGATGAGGCTAGTATGAATGTCTCTGTAATACGGGCACTGGAGAAGCACATCCTCTGTTGTTTCTGTGTGTCCACAGTCACAGGGACATTGTCTCTCCTGGTAGGGAATCTTGGCCTTCAAGGACAAGGGGAGGGCATGGCATCGTGCCAGAGTAAAGGCCTTCCAGTGCCACTGTTAAACTGCTCTTACCATTATCAAGTTTTTTTTGTAACATTCAGCTAACATCTATGTTTCTATAAAGAGACAGAGCATTAATTTGTGCCCTGCAGTCTAATACAATAGAGGCTGGCCTTGACTTTTGGCCGGGTGGCATCCCTTCAAGTATTTGAAAAATACTGTTGTATTTTCCCTTAATAATCTTTTCTCAAAACTGAAAAATCTCAATTCCCGTAGTCCCTCCTTGTAAGATTTAATTTCTGGTTCCTGATCAACTGTTTTGCTTTTCTCTGCACTTTTTCAGTTTCCCTGAATATTTCTTAAAATGTGATCTCAGAACGAAAGCAAAATAAAATGGAACTATTACTTCCTGTGATTTGGAAATTTAACTTCTCTTGATGCAGTCTAAAAATTGCCTTTTAGCAGTTATGCCTTACTGCTGACTCATATTCAGGATGTGATTTCCTACAATTCTAACATACTTTTCACATATACTGTTCCAGATCCCATAACTATATGCTTGGTTTCCTTTTCCTAGGCAAAGAATTTTGCATTTATCTCTATTAAATTTCATTCTGTACTTTTTAGTCTACTTCTCTAACCGATCAAGATAATTTTGATTGCTGTTTCTCTGTTCTAGAGTATCAGCTTTCTGACACAGTTTTGTGTCATCTACAGTTCTAATGCATGTTCCCACCACCTCTTCATCCAAATCATTCATGAAAATGTGGAAGAGTACCAGACACAGGATCTGAATACTCTGGTATCCTGCCTGATACCTCACTGTGGTTTGTATATTTGCTTTCAAGTCATACTTAGGTACATTATTAATTGTAATTGTATTAATCAAGGAGCACTTTATCAAATGCTTTGGTATATTTTGTCCATAATGTTCCTCCAATATACTAGGATGTGACAAAATAAAAAAATAAAGTTAGCATGGCATGTTCTGATAGAGTCATACTGACTACTAGTAATAATTCCATTGGTTTCAAGATACTTACAGAGCAATCAGTTTATGATCTCATCTAAAATCTTCCCATTTGTGGACGTCAGAGTGATTGGTTTGTACGTAGCTCCATGCATCTACTTTTTTTTCTCTTTCTCAAGATAGGAACAAGATTTGTCCTCTTCTTCCGTGATTTCTCAAAGAAAACAGATAGGTGTTTGGCCAGACCACCATCAGTGCCTGTGGCTGATCTGGCCCTGTAGATCTGAAGATCAAGGTCAATATGTGTACCCTGTGTTTCTGTCAGGCCTGACCTGGAATCCTCCTCCTTCAACCAGCTTTTCATAATTGCTTGGTGAAACGTATATATTATTTTCAGAGAAAAATGGAGCCACAGTAGAAATGGAATAATGCTATCTTTTGTTGCCTTTTCTGCCATCTTTGCTGACCAGATGATATACTGATTCTTTTCTTTTTAAAATTTGAATTTTCATGGAGGACTGTGCTTGGCAAACTTTGTCTCCAAGCTGATGTTGGGTACCCAATAATTTAAATCCATCATCTCTACTTCTGTATGATTTTTCAAAAGAGTTTCCGTTTGCTTTTGGAAGGCATAATCCACATTTCCTTTATTGGCTGAGCAGTAGTAAATACAAAACATCCTTCATTTATTTGAACTGTTTTCAGCAGCAACACCAAGTTAATTGCCTTGGATTTCTGGGGAGATATAGATATTTCTAACATAAAGTACACTTCTTCCTCCATTTTTATTGCTTCTGTTTCTTTTGAACAAGTTGTATTCCTCAACTATTAAATTCTGATTATGAGAATCATTCCACCAGGTCTCAGTTATCCCTATTAACATCATGTTTATCTTCCTGTAATAAGAATTTAAGCTCATTTTGCTTATTTCACATACTTTAAGTATGAGTATGTAGATAACAAAGGGCATTAATTTTATGAGGCAACCATTCTTTCTGATTTTTCATTTAATGATTAAAGAGGTCCCAGTACACTTACTCTCTCACTCACTTCTATATTTCTTCTGGATTTCCATCTCTAGCCCCCACAGAATTCATCTTCAAATCTCCTGATGAAGTTTGACATGCTTCAGCCAAGCACATTGTCTCCAGTCTATGAAGTATAAGCTATCTTGTGGCAGCACTTTATCATCCAGGTAATGAAGAAGCAAATCTCTCCCATTTTTGTACTCAGACATTCACTTGCAGTATTATTATTTCCCCGCTCAGTCCTCTTCCATAACTTGGATCACATTTCCTGAGCCAAAGATACAGGTTTGCAGAGATTAGTTTCAGTCTTGTAGTAAGGAATCATGAACTATAACTATCTCTTTTCCTCTTATAAGTGGAGCTGTTTTCTTTTAAACCTGGTCCTTTGTGCCTTCTCTGAAGACTCAGTCTGTTTTTTTATTTTTCCTGTGAGTCCAAACATATTTCTGAGTTTCAGCGGGTTAGAATATCTTCTTTTATCTTCTCCTATTATATTGTCTTCCACCACTGCAGTGAGGTTGGAATTAGGCATCGTACTTCTTCTTAAAAGCTCATAAACAGTGCATATCTGTCTGGCAGATTTAGTTCTTGCCTAAGTATGATGAAAGGTGCAACAGAAGTAAGGTGAGAAAATATGAGCTCTAAAACTCATTGTGCATAAGGCTTGAAATGCAAAGAAAGTTTAACAGTTTGTTATTTCAATTTAGGTTAGAAATTGAAGACAAGTTGCTAGGATGATAATAAGGAATCTGGGTTGGATTGTCTCTGATTTATTGCCAGAGTATACATTAGAGTGAGGCTGTAGGCTTTGATAATGGTACCTCTTAAATTGGCTATTTGATTAAACTATTCTTGTGGATTTTAATTCTCAGTTAACAATATTTTTACACGAAGTCCTGCTTAGATTGCTTACATTATTAGTTAAATTAGCAGGAGTTTAGAACAAGACTTTTTCTGTGATTGCCTCAATATTATGAATTAGGTGCAAATCCATTGTTCCAGTCCATCTCCGCAAAAGTTTAGAAATGGGAATGTAAAGATCTTATTTAATATTCATCAGGATGTTTGTTAAAAATCACCATGAACATCCTTTATGAAGTTTTTGTTGTTATGTTTTATGTAAATATCTTACCTGACTTGGCAGGTGGTTGGGATTAACAGTTAGCAAAACAGAAATAAATAAACTTATTTCCACTGGCCATCTACAGTACAGTATATCCCACCTAACTGCCAGAGGAGCCAAGAGTAGATTTACATAAAACTACATTTAAAATGAGAGCCGGTTTGGTGTAGTGATTAAGGCATCAGGCTAGAAACTGGGAGACTCTGAGTTCTAGTCCCGGCTAAGCACAAAGCCAGCTGGGTGACCTTGGGCCAGTCACTTTTGCTCAGCCCTAGGAAGGAGGCAATGGCAAACCACTTTTAAAAAACTTTGCCAAGGAACTTGTCGAGGAAGTATCCAAGAATCAGACACAATTGGAGTAAAAAAAAACATTTAAAATATAAAAAACAGTGTGTGAAGTATGGAAACTCATAAAGCATGCATTAGATATGGATTATTACATATCTCTAATTTTCATCAAATTCTCATTTTGCTTCGGCACAAATTCTGTTTATGGAGCCACATGTTTGGCTTCATTTAGTTTGTATATACATCATCTAAAATTATATTCTCCTTTACTAATAAAGACATTCCATTTTCTTCTATTTCCCATTATCTCCATTCCTCTATGCTCTTTTTCCAGGTGCAAACTATTTTCATTCAGCTTTGTCCATATATCTATAATGTGCTTATTATCCACAACTTGGATAACAGTCCTGAAAAGTGTGGATTTTGGTGTGCCTATGCCTTTCATGTTCTCTCCTGTATCCAAGAGGTCTGAAATTGATTTATTCACATAAAACTATAATTTAATTAATTTCTCATCCATTCATTTGTAATAATGAATATCTCTATGTCCATATGGTAATTTTGTAGAGAAATTGTATAGATAAGTTCTGTGGCCGTTTGAAACTGGTTTTTTTTTTGGTTGCTAATTTTGCCAGTTTTCACCAAACGTAGAAGCAAGTATAAGTCATGCAATTTACAGTGGAATTGCATTATGAAACTACATTGAAGCTTGTATGAAACATTAAGTTGCCTGTATTATTGACTTCTCATATTGTTGATTGGAGCTGACAAATGCTAATTTAGAGCACAAATACTGTAGTCTAAAATATCTTTTGACAGTACAGTAATTTATTTTCTGACAGTAGTAACAAATCCTAAAAATTTGGCTTCATTTAGTTTGTATATACATCATCTAAAATTATATTCTCCTTTACTAATAAAGACATTCCATTTTCTTCTATTTCCCATTTTATTTTAACAAGGAACTTGTCTTTTTCTTCATGTGGTGGGGTAAACTGCATAATTTCCAGCTCATACCTCTTTCCTCCTCTGGCTTTTAAGCATACTTTACCCTTTTCCTAGGCTGGTATCTCCAAGAGCTTCAAGGGGGATATTTTTGGTGCAGCCATTTTCTGCTTCAGGTTTTACTGTTGCTATCTTTTTTATTTCCAAGATTTTCTTTGGGCCTGCTCCTTTGGTTTGAGCAAAACAGGATTTTTTAGTACAGTATTATGTATTGTAATTATGTACTGTATGAAATCAGATTGCTTAGTCTAATAAGTGATGTGATGTGTAATGGACTTGAATCAATGAACAAGTTAATCTGGGTAGAGACATATTATTTTAATTCATATAAAAACTTGCCATTCACCCCAAATACCTATAGGGAATAGGGACAAATCAAGAGAACTGTTTTATACAAAAACATTAAACCAAAATAGCAAATCATGTATATTCTGTCCAAACTATAAATTATAGTTAGTCTCCTCCCAGTAACCACCTTAAGACTGAGATGAAAAGCAGATTGGAAGAATGCAACATCACCTAATTTTCCCTACTTGTCCCTTCACTTTCTAGCTTTGTTTACTATTTACCTCAAAGAGCACTGTTGACCTCAATTTTTTTGTAATATTTTGATTGGCTTAAATATATCTGCCCATAACACATAAAATTTCTCTTATAGCCAGAGATTTGCTTTTTTGAAGGATATTTGACATACCTGTATGTAATTGAATTTTTATCAGATAGAAAGAAATGTCAGTGTTTTAGATAAGTGAATACCCCAATCATGCCTTAAAGCAGTGTTTTATGCAGTTGGGGACTATTAAGTAACATTTTGGAAAATTCAGGGACTGTGCAGTTAAAACTCCATCTGTTTTTGTCTTCAAGCATTCAGGGAGTTCCTATTTTTCAGTGACTAAATTTATAGTTCCATTTGTGTATGGTTCTCCATTCCCTCTAAGGGCTCTTTGAAACTAAATTGTGTGCCAAAAAAATGTAATCCAAAATTAAGTATTAATTTGCCAGTTGAGGCATAAGTTGAGATGCCAAGTGGGCTCTGGTCTAGCCAGCTGATTGTGAGTGTGGAGAGATGGGGAGATGGAACTGAGGCAGTGAGAGAGCTTCTCCTACCTGACTTGCAGTGCATGTGAAAAGGTGGGTCTGAAGTTGCCAGCAGGCTCTGGCTGACTGTCAGAGGCCTCCTCACATGCACTGACTGCTGGCCGACTAATCAGTAAATGTGGCTCTGGATGGTGAATGTGGGGAGGCTGCAGGTTGCTACCTAATTAACATCTGTGGACCCTCTCATTAGAATCACTGCCTTAAAAGATAGTTGTAATAAACAGCATCATACAGTGTTTGAGACAATTAAGGACATATTCAGTTCTCCTTCTCTTTGTTTTCTGAGACTAGTTGTCATACATTATGGTGTTCATAAAATCATAAAGCTGGAAGGGGCCATTGAGGCAATCAAGTCCAGTCCTCTGTTGCAAGAATTCAAATTAAAGCATGTCAGATACTTACTTAGTGTTTGTTTGGACATATTCAGTTGAAAGGAGCTGATCACTTCTCTGGATGATTGATTCAACTGTCCATAGTGTTAGTAGCTTTGCTTAATATTCAAGCAGTATCCACCTACCTGTAATTTAAATCCATTATTCCATGTCTAACATTCTGGAGCAATAGAGAACGGGCCTTTCTTTTATGTAACACCTTTTAAAATATTTGAAGTGTGCTATTATATCTCCCTGTCCCTCAGTTGTCTTTTTTCCAAGGTAGAACATACCCATTTCCTTCAGTTTCTCTTCCTAAGACTTGATCAACTTTGTTGCCTTTTTCTGTACCTGCCCCAAATTTTCTGAATACTTTTAAAAGAGTGCTGCCTAGAACTGAACTCAGACCTTTATTTCACAGAATAAAGTGGAATGTTGAAGATAATTTTTTGTTCAACTATCCACTTACCTCATTAGTACATTTATCTCATTCTAGATACTACTGCTAAATTTTATTGATATATTTATTTCACTTTATATGGCTGCCCATCTCGTAATAGTGACTCTGGACACCTAAGATAGGATTAAAACCAAACAACAACAACAACAGTAGTAATACAATGGCAACTGAAGACACCAACAATCATCATAGATATCCATCGCACAGGACTCACATGCCCAGGAAAACAGCTTACAAAAGCCTTAAAAGATTCACCCAATCTTTCAGTAGGCGAGTGCTGAACTTAACTTTTTGTGTGGGATTGAGTATCACAATGGATTGGACCACACTATAGACAGGAAAAGGATGAGGAAAGGGTATATTTATTCTTAGTTTTAGAGGCAATTTTTAAAAACTGTGTCCTTGGTTTTTAGCTCTCCTGATCAAAGTGGATTCTGGGGACTGCAAAAAATCTTGGGAGCTATATGTTGTACATGTGTACCTTAATTTATTATGTATTTCCAGTATTATTGAGTATTATGACATGTCATCATAGCATGTATGATATTGATGCTAATGGTAATATAATGCAATTCTGATTTAGCTTCTTTAAGGTATATCTTCATGATTCTGCCATTGTTCTTAGTTCTGGCACCAGAAGCTTCATCTGATTTCATGACTGAAATCCGAAATGATTATGAGAATATTCTAATCAACATCATTATTCATCTGGTGGGTAGCTTTTTTTTTTTTTTTTTTGCTTTTTAAAACAAAGCTAAAATATTTCTTTACAAGACAGTTTTAACATATATGAGAAATCTGAAGAAGTGACTTTGGAAAGAATTCATATGGAATTTACAAACAGAAAGATAGTGCTAGTCAGGAAAAACAAAAAAACTTTAATGAATGGAATGAGGTGATGGGACTTGAGACTGCTTTCCACTACTTGTAAATATAGTGATGGAAATATAAATCCTATTGCAGCTGTTCATTTGAGCCAGTGCTGCCTGATCTAGAAAGAATGACTTCTACTGTCATTTTTTTTCCCTCTCTCTTTTCTCAAACCTATCAGCTGTGGAGGTCAGCCTATATTCTGTACTGTACAAATCAAGCTTTTGCCTGATGATGGTGCATAATCAGCCCAGCCTTATGTACTTTTTGATGTGGATTAGAATCAGCTAAATTCCCAGCCAGGATATGTAAAAGTGGGCATCAAATAGGGAACCTTGGCATGAACATTGAAATGTCCTGAACATTTGTTTAATAAATTGGACCAAATATCTGGGTCGCCCTCCTGCCTCTGCTGTTTCATAACACCTAAGACCTGATTTCCAAAGTGAGCCAAATTCTTAGGTTTATAGGAAAGAGCTGGCTTTTCTGATGTACTTCCTACCTATCCCATCTTGAACTGGCATGGGTCCTTAGTTCTTTTGCTACAGGATTGAGACTAGACTGCTCAGAGTAACTAGTCTGCTTCATAGCAGCATCAATCCCTTTATTTTTATTTTTGGGCATACAAGACTTTTCTAAATGCTGCCTCATAAAATTAAGATTGTAAGTAAATATAGATGACATTCAATTTTTACATACTGTTATAATAGCCTTTCCCAGTATGCTGTTTTCTAAACTTGCCGAACAAAGGCCAAGCTAGCTAGAATTTCTGTGAGTTGAAGTCTAGTATATCTGCAGGGCATCAGGTACAGAGGATAGGCTCAGCACTAAAGACCTTTATATTTTTCAGGTTTTTTTTAACTTCTAACTTTAATATTTATCTTTTTAGTGCTAATATGTGAGATTTATAGTATGGCTGCTTTATTTTTTTAAGCACTCGGGGTTGTTTTTATTGAATTAATATGTAGTGATTTTGGTACATTGTGTTAGGATTTGCTTTATGTTGTTGTCTGAGGATTGGTAGTTTTTCTTTCAGGCACTGGAATTAAAATGTTTATGCAAGATGCTTTGGAAACCCCCGTTCCCCTCTGCCCCCTAGATCATAGATTCCTTCTATTGATCTAACAAGATTTCCATCAGGAGAATAGGAATGATTTTGCAGATTCCTCTCTGTCCTTCAGCGCCATAACCCCAAATCTGCTTCAGAGGGTTGGAAGCTTTACATAGCAATCTGCGTGAGGGTGCAGGGAGATACAGAGGGCAAGAAAAATCGGCAAAAAAGTTTTCCTCTCCAACTCCAGTGATGCCAGCTACTGCTGGACCAAAGAGTATCCTATCAGCAGAAGGAACTCCATAGGAAACTGTCCACTGTTTTCAAACTTCCAACTTAGTTGAGTCCATTACTGAAACTGAAATACCCATAGCACATCTCTTTTGATCTATGATTGGTATCGTGATTAAGATACTGGACTAGAAATCATGAGACCCTGAATTATAATCCTCCCTTAGATACAGAAGTCAGCTGGGTGACTTTGGGCCAGGTACTCTCTCTTAGACCACAGCAAGGTTGCTGTGAGGAAAATAGGGGGAGGAAGCATTATGTACACCACCTTGAGTTGTGTAACAAAAAGGTAGGATATAAATCTAAGGAATAAATATTAAATTTAAAAATTGATCTCAGCATATCTTGAATTAATATCAGGTATATTCCAGAAGGTCCATATATGATTACTTTTTGATAGGTTCACTGTTCATATAAAAGAATTTAAATATTTAAAATGAAATAAAAAATTAACTCCATAGATTAATCATAATTACAAATTAATATGTCAGTAAGTAACACTAAGTAATATAAATAATAAAACTAATTGGTAATATAACATACATAAGCTAATTAATATACTGCTTCTTACATCTGAAATTTTTATAGGAGAAGCTCCTCAGTCAGAACAGCACGTCCAGCTGTAACCTGAAAAACAACACATATCACCACGATTCATTTAAGGTAATGTTGATACTTCTTGAGGCAATCTGTCTCTAGTTTGATAAGCCAATTTATGTAGTAACATGTAATAGTTGGGGGTTAAACCTGAACTCTAAAAATGTAAAGAAGGGATGTTTTTGTAACATTTTGCCTAATAAAGCATTATATAGCACTCCTAATTTTGGAGTATTCATTTTGCACCATTTTGGCTGGTTGTCAAAAAAGTATAGGGCAACTATGAATTTTATGTATTTTTTGTCCTGGACCAATGTGACAATGGTTTTATATTCTTTGAAGTATGCTGCTTTTAGCCACCTGTGTCTAATGTCTTCAGAGGAGGATGATTTTGTAGAGCCTGAAGAGGCACCTTACATTTTGAGGATTCTGCCCTTTCCAACTATTAGGCAGTGCTAAAATGTTTTGCTTAATTGCTTTTTATTTAATATATTAACCAAAAATACTTTCAGGTTTTGCATAGATAGAGATTTTAATGTTTCTTCATTGCTGCTTCTGTGCAGGTTAGGAACTTAAATAGTTTGCCCATGGCAAGAGATATGGGAGGAAGTACACTGGTGATTGATGGCCTTTCAGAGTTGTGTGGAACAACTATAGCTCTTTAATTCTCAGCATTACCTGGAATCTGACATACATAATGAGGGTAGTCTACAATGACTATCTTCATAATAACTTAAATATCTGGCTTAAACTTTGAATTTCCATACTTCTTCCCCATCACTTTATCTAGAAATCCTGACAAACATTGCTACTTTTTCTGTTTAGAATTTGAATTGGTGAATAAACAAAAGATTAGGCATAAAAGTACTTACTGATTTCTAACTTTAAAATGGATTCCTGCAGTCTTTCCACTCATTGCTGAAGTAATGTTATAGTTAGTAAGCTAAAGGGGGTAATGATGGGACTGGGAAGACCCGATTCAAATAGCCACTTGACTGCAGAGTTCACTGTGTGGCTCTGGAGTAATCTCTCTCTCTCTCCGTCGAAACCTACTTCACTGGGTTTGGTTAGGAGAAAACCATAGACAACAATTAATCATAAATAATTTCTATAAAAATGTGACCATGGAGACAGTGATCAAGTGCATTTTGTCACATAGCTCTGAATATGGGGTCTTTGGGGGGAAAAATGCACTAACCCTCTACTTATGTTCAAAGCCTTTCAGCCTGAGCAGAGTGCAATAAATGGTGTCCATTGGGGGAGGGGGAACTTCATTCCAGAGGGCAGGCACTGCTACAGAGAAGATGCGCTTCTGTGGTCCCAAAAGATGGCATTGTTTGATCGGTGGAATTCAGAGAGCACCACCCCTACCAGATCGAACTGGCTGGGCAGATGCTATGTAAGACAAGCAGTCCCTCAAGTAACCAGGCCCTATGCCATGTAGGACTTTATAGGTAGCAACCTATAGATAGGTAAATGCAGTGAAGGAGAGAGCTTAGCTGAAATAAAGGGAATAGCTGTGTTGTGGTCCTCATTCCTTAAAAGCACTGTATGATGTGTGTCAGGCCAGAAGAGAAAGAGAGTCTCTTGCAGTAGGAGATGTGACTGCAAAACAAAACAAAAAGAATGGGAGCTTTCATCCCACTGTAGACAACATGTACATCAAGGGCAAATTCCCATTAGCTATTTTTTAAAATGATGTAGAGGTCAATATGTTGCCTGTATTTCAGTCATGTGTTTAGGAAGTGATTTATTGACTGATAGCTTGCAAAGGTGCTTTGAATAGAGTGAAATCCTAATGAGCATGGAGCATGGAGTTTTAATTGGTAAACTCTTGGACACTTTCAATAGAAAGAAACTTGTTACACTACATATTAAAGGCAGCGTGTCAGATTGTAATGCCCAACTAGCTTGACAAAACATGTTTGTTGGCATCAGTATTTGCAAATAGTGTGCATTATGCTGTGTTAACATTTCTAGTCTCACTGCAGTGGACAGAGACAGCTCTATTTTCTTGTCATTTATTGCCTTCCAACTTGAAAAATAACTGTAACATTGTTATATATAGATCATAGCCCTCCAATTTAATAAGATATATTTCTTTACAGAATAAAACCATATATTATCTGGCATCGTGTCTTAGCAAAATGGCAAATTGTTCTATAATCTCTTCTGATTTAAAGTCTGCCATGGAAAATGTTTCACATTTGACACTGGAAATCTTAAAGGTATGTGTTTAGGAGAGTTTCATTGATGTTGTTTTCTTACATTTTATTTATTGCTTTATTGTTTTAAAAGAATAATTAGATTTCATGTTAAATTGCTTATTACTGGTAACTCAGTTTATTCTTGAAGGGAAGATAGGATATAACTGAGATGTATACCTACAATTCACTGAAACTCATTACACTGAGACATTGCAGTGCCTAAAATACCCAATATATTCAAAACTAATTCAAGATATTTTGATTATAGGATTCCAAGTCCAAACCAAATATTAAAGAAATTTATAACCGCAGGAAGAGAAACCCATGTTGGTATATTTTAGAATTCTTACCTGCAAAATATTGAAACAAATGCATTCTAATATTCCCTCATATGGCTAGCTTAAAAAAAAATACAAAAGAAAACAAAATAATGTATTTTCTTTAGAATGCTCTCATATGCAAACACATAAACTAATTGGGCTCATTCACCTATGGAACTAGTAGGGTAGCTCTGATTTTCCACAGCATTTTCATCAGAAACTGACTCTGGCTCTAGTCAAATCCTGTCCGTATCTTTTAACTTACAGCATTAGATTTTTTTTGTCCAGCCAAGTCTAACTGAATTATATACTGTTCAGCCATGAATATTAATTATAAACAGCTTATGCATTTGTGTTTTTGATCTAGAATGGTTACACCGTAAAACTACACAAAGGACGGTGTTGTCCTCAATGCAGAAAAGTCAGCAAAAGATCTGATTGTACCCATACTTTATGTCGCGTAAAGAATCTTGTTTCAGCCTTGAGTTCCTGGTGGAAGAAGTTTCTTTATCATGATTATCCCCAAGGGGGATAAAGTGATAAGTATATCTTTTGTAAGAATTAAGTTCAGCTTTTATGATCCAGATGAAACTCTGGTATACTTCAGAATTTTTCTACAGAAAATTATGCAAATATCCTGTGCTAATGTGTCGACAAGACTGTTGAATTTGTTCCATGGGTCCCACGAAAGAAAAAGTTGGATGAAGAGAAGCAGGCTGCCAACATCTCAAAGCTCTCAAGTGCCAATGAAAGTAAAAAGTAGATAATAGAATGAATAGAATGAAATATTCCATATTTGTATTGTCGAAGGCTTTCACGGCCGGAATACGATGGCTGGTGTGGGTCTTCCGGGCTGTGTGGCCGTGTTCTGGAAGTTTCCACTGAAAGACACCAAAACAAGCAGCCACTCGTTAACCCAAACCCCACACCCCCCGT